AGATAGTTGTATGTCATAGTTGCACATCCTTCTAGTTGCTGTATGTGGGACGCAGCCTCAGCATGGCCAGAGAAGCAGTGCGTCAGTGCGCGCCTGGGATCCGAACCCGGGCCGCCAGTAGCGGAGTGCGTGCACTTAACCGCTAAGCCATGGAGCTGGCCCTCAATAGGATCTTTCTAATATAGCACTTTGTCATTTCACTAAGAAAAACTAATAGATTGATTCTTTTGGTAGTGGTGGTACAGAAATACCCAGAATCTCAAGGTATAATTGTGTATTTTACTATGTACCATTTCTATATTAAAGGTATATATTATTAAACATTAGGAAATTAGCTTTTTTCCCCCATTGGAATTCAAGGTTGCAATTTTTCATACAAGGTATTCCTTTGTGCTTTTCTCACTTTTGCATCACTTTAATCTATTTTCCCCTTCCCATACATTTTGTCCAAACTGTACTGAACAAATTAGAACATAAAGCACACACATATACAAATATAACATTGTTTTTGGAAAAAAGTGGGATCATACTACATATATAAGTACATAATGTACTCTTTTCACTTAACAGTCAAGCACAGACCTGTTTCCCTGTCAGCACACACAAAATTACTTTCATTCTCATGATGGCAACTTTCTGCTGTAGGGGCTTACTCTGTAGTTGAACCACGTCCCTACCAGTGAGCATTTTAAGTTGTTTCCAGTCTTTGGCAGTGACAAACAATGCCGTAATTCCCACCCTGTAAACACATCTTTGTGTGCTTGTGTGCCTGAGTATAATTCCTGAAAGTAGAATTGGCTGGAACGGAATGTACATTTAAAATACTGATAAACATGCCAAGTTGTCCTTCAAAATGCTAAACTGCGTATGTGAGGACCCATTTCCCCACCCCTTTGCCAATAATGATCATTAATATTTAAAATGTTTGCCAATCTAGAAGATATCGATGGTACTTCATTGTTTTAATTTGTAGTGTTCAAACATATTTTTATATATTTATTGGAAACTCATAACTTCTGGGAACTATTCATTACATCTTCAGTTATCTTTTTCTTATTGATGTATATATAGGGATTCAATATATTAAAGGTATAAATATTTGAAAAGACTTACTTTAAATTCTCAGAAACTGTTTTGGCTTTGTTGTAGTGTCCTCCGACTGGATTGGCAGCAGCAATAATGGAGGTTCTTGCAGGGAGGCTACAAACCACGCCAGCCTTAGCAAGACTAATACTTTGCTGTTCCATGGCTTCTAACAAGGCTTGATGTTGATTTCCCATCTTATCAAATTCATCTATTCCACAGATACCTACAATCACAGTAGAATAATACAGACAGAAAATGTTCCTTTGGTCAAGTTTCAAACCTTACAGGATGGAAATTATTCTACAATAAAAAATTAGTTCCATTTTTTTCCAGCAGTTAAAATTATAAAATGTCATACAGTAGAGAATTTCTGCTTGTTTTATAGCAAAGAAAACACTTGTCTTATTTAACTAACTTTTATGTAATATTTGTTCATTCAGCATTTTCTGTAGGCAAGGCGCTATGGTTGTGGGGGTTACAAAAATGAAGGAGATATGACAGTGACCCTCAAAAAGCTTAAAGACTTAAATTCAAATAGGTGAGATAAGATATATACACATTCAAGATAGTATATTTCAACTATAATAGATATGCATAATTATATAAGTTGAGTTTTCTGGGAGTGGGGAGAGGTTAAAAGAGGAAGGGGAGGGGCCGGCCCTGTGGCCTAGTGGTCAAGTTTGGTGTCCTCCTCTTCAGCAGCCCGGATTTGTGCGTTCAGACCCCGGTGTGGACCTACACCACTCATCAGCCATGCTATGGTGGTGACCCACATACAAAATAGAGGAAGACTGGCACAGATGTTAGCTCAGGGCTAATCTTCCTCAACAAAAACAAACAAACAAAAAAATTAAAAAAAGAAAGAAAAAGAGGAAGGGGAATCTGGAAAGGTTTTAAGAAAAAAGTGCTATTTGAGCTGGGTTTTTCAGGAACAGTAGGGCAGCATGATTTGGGAAGAAAAGCACAGGCTCTAAAGCCAGAAGACTCGAGGACAGTTCTCAGCAATACCAGGTATTGACTGTACAACTGTAGGGAATTCACTTAACCTCTTTAAACACAATATGAAGACCCACCACACATGAAGGCATTTATCATGTCTAATCCACAAGTTACTGGAGATCCTCTAACGTGACCTTGCAATAGTTTTCTTCTCCTCCTCCCCATATCATAGGCAATTATGTGGTCATGTCCAGAGGGCTTTGCTGTATTTAAACCCCTCTATATCTACTCTATGACCAAGTAAGCCACGCCAGCTCAAGGTCAGTCCATGACTCTCTGGAACTGACAGTATTACTGGAAATTCTCAAGATTACTAATACAGTTCCTCAGAGGTGGGGACAGGGTAGGGACAAAGCCAAGCTACTTCTTTCTTTGACTGTCACTTTTCAAAGTTTAAAGTAGGAGTTGGCAAACCTTTTCCGTAAAGGGGCAGATGTAAATACTTGACATTTTGTGGGCCACATATATAGTCTGTCACATATTCTTGGTTTTTTTGGTTGTTCTTTACAATCCTTTAAAAATATAAAAGCCATTTTTGGCTTGTGGACTATACTAAAATAGGCTGAAAGCTGGGTTGACCTGTGGACTAAAGTTGCTGACCCCTGGTTTTAAAGCATAAAGTTTAAACTTTGAAAATTTTAAACTCTTTGTCTTGTTTGGCTACAATTTGTATATCCTGTCACTTTTTTTTAAACAATTTTTTGGTCATTTCATCAGATATTAAAGAAAGGAAATATAAAACAGCGCTATTTCTCCTTTTTTCCCTGTAAGTTTTCAGTAAAGATTTTAGCAGGACCTTGTATTTGTTTCTAGAATCCAGTCTCTGCCGACTAATAATCTTTTGTATTTTAACAGTGCTACTTTTACCATCATAGTGCTTGGCTTATCTACCTATATTTGAAAGAGATGGGAGTCGGCTTTTAACACTCCGCATCTTAAATAACATTAGCTATCTGTATAGCTAAATCCCACATCACTTTCAACTAGAATTCTAATTAATGGAAAATCTGTTTAAAAATGAGTATTCTCTTATTATTTCTTCACATGGTAACTCAGCAAAAGCACTGTCACTTCTAACGAGCTATATGATAATCAGATAAATGTCTGTTGAGTTTATTCATTCAGCAAATATTTACTGAATACCTTCTATATATCAGTACTATGTTGTAGGCATGCAGGATATAGCACAGAAAAGACAAAATTCTCTGCCTTTTTGAAGCTTACATTCTACTCAGTGTAGGGAGACAGACAATAAAATGCTAAACTATATAGTATTAGAAGGTAATAAGTGCTATGGAAAGAAAAAGTAGAGTAGACTAAGAACAGGGTCTGCTGGTGGGGGCAGGGGTTACAATATAATACATGATATTTAGGGAAGGTCTCACTGGGGTCAGGACTTTTTTTTGTTTGTTTTTTGGTGAGGAAGATTGGCCCTGAGCTAACATCTGTGCCAATCTTCCTCCATTTTGTATGTGGGATGCCGCCACAGCATGGCTTGATGAGCAGTGTATAGATAGGTCCACGCCTGGGATCTGAAGCCGTGAACTTCGGGCCACTGAAGCAGAGCACGTGAACTTAACCACTACACCACCACGCAGGCCCCGGGGTCAGCATATTTGAGCAAAAGTTTGGAGGAAAGGGAACAAGTCTTGCAGACATATCTGCAAGGGTAACGACATTCCAAGCAAAGGGAATAGCAAGTACAAAGGCCCTGATGCAGGAATGTGATGTGCCTGGTGTGCTGGTGGTGCTCGAGGTACAGCAAGGAGGCCAGTACTGCTGGAGAAGAGGAAATAAGAGAGGAGTAGTAGGTAATGAGGCAAAAGAGGTGATTAAAGGCCAGAATGTGAATGGCCCTGGGACACTATCAAGACTTGGGCTTTCACTGAGTAAGGTGTGGAGCCACTGGAGGATTCTGAGCAAAAGAATAATGTGATTTAAGTTTTAATGGGACTGCCCTGACTTGTTAAAAATAACAGGAAGGGCAACGGTGGTCACAAGCACGCCAACTAGGAGATCACAGTAATCATTCACGTGAGAGAAGATGGTGTCTTGGATCGGGGTAGTAGCAGTGAAGAGGTTGGATACTGCATATATTTGGAAGGCAGAGCCAACAAGATTTGCTGATAGACTGGATGTGGGGTATGAGAAAAAGTCAAGGATGACTCCACATTTTCTGATTTCAGCAAATGAAAGGATGGAACCGTCATTTACTGAGATGAGACAGACCACAAGAAAATACGTTTGAAGGGGAAGATCAGGATTTTGGTTTCGGACATGTTAAGATTGAGTACGTTGTAGAGACACTGCATAGGCAATAAGAAGTATGTGTCTGGAGTTCAGGGGAGAAGAAATATAAATTTGGAAATTTTCAGCATATAGGTAGGTAAAGCCATGAGACTAGATAAGATCACCATGAAGGTAAGTACAGACTGAGAAGAAAAAAGGTACAAACTCTAAGCACCCTGAGGTGCCAACCAGTTAAGAGGTGAAGAGATGAAGAACAAGTAAAGACTGAGGAGGAATACTGAATGAAGTAAGAAGAAAACCAGAAGACTGTAGTGTCCTGGAAACCAAAGAGATGAAGTATTTCATGGAGGGGGGAGTGATCAGCTGTGTCAAACATGGCTGACAGGTACTGGATGTAGAAATGTGGAGGTCCCTGGCAAACTGGAAGGAACGAATGACCTTAATTGGCCTGGAATCTGGGCACTGCCTGGCACGTGCATAAGAACATGTTTTTCCAATAGAGTTAAAGCAACACAAAGAGAAGCTAGGTAGCAAAGCCCAATTGGAAATCCCTTCTTGCTGAGCCCTCCAAATGGATTTCTTATAAACTATCAGTCAAATCCTTAAAAAAAACCCCTAGGAGATAGGTTAAAATACAGCAAAACTTCTAATTCTAAAGTAACAGCTCTAAACTCTGACTGCAAGTCCTCCAAGAACAAAGAATAACATTCACCTTCTTTTCAGTTCCAAGGCATCTAGAACTATTCTAAACTAAGTAACAGTAATGCATTCAACAAGTATTTACTGTGCACCTATGTACTAGGCAATAGGAATATGGCAGTCAACAAAATAACCAAATCTCACCCCACTGGGAACTTACAATAAGGCTTTAAAACAAATGATCTCAAATGTGATGGGTGGTATGAAATGGGAAGTGTAGGGAGCTACAACTATTTGACCTGATGATCTAATTTTTACATTTAATTGTATCTGCTGCAAGATTCAGAAAATGAATGACATAAAGTACCAGTTTCAATTCTGCAGTACAAATAAAAACGATAGTACTGTATTTCTAGTTATTTTCTATGGCACTTATTCTCAACTCACTACTTGGGACAGTGCTGTCCAAATGCCTCTTGAACAGAATGTAAAAGAACTAATTAGAAAGAAGAAGTCTTAAAAAAAAAAACATAAGGCCCAGAATTACTATTATTCCCTTTGGTCTCCTACCTTGATCACCAAGTACCAGGGCACCAGCTTCCAGAGCAAAATCTCCAGAGGAGCTATCTTTTGAAAGAGTTACAGTCAAACCAGAGGTGGTCGTGGTATTACCACAAACATACACACCACGCGGAGCAACGTTGCATACTGCCTAAGGAAACAAAAAGTTTAAGAGAACCAGCCAAAGTAAAAGGGAAATAATAGCTAATAGTAATCGCTCACAAATGTTACCTACATGCCAGCTATTCTTCTAAGGGCTTTACTGTACAATCTTCACCACCACGATAAGAGGAAGGCATTATTACACTCCTTTTTACTGATGTAGAAGCCAGCGCCAGGAGAGAGTGAGTAACTCATACAGCTATGAAGGTGTGAAGTCCAGATTCAGTCAAACCCAGGCAGCATGACTCTGATGTCTGTGGTCACGCGAATACACTACACAATTCCATTTTATGCTTCATTTTCAAGTTCAAATAGCAAAAATGTCAGTACTCATTTTAATTTCAAAGGCTCCAATGCTTCTTTAAACATCAGGTAATAAAATGGCTCCATATGCTCACCTTCTGAGTAAATAAGCTACAGCCAGGTCAGAAAAGTAGTTAAACAGCACAACAGTTAAGAGCATGAACCTCCAGAGTCTGGCAGACCTGTTTTAATCCTGGTTCTACCATGTACTGGCTGTGCTGCTCTCGGATCTCTCTGCGCCTCAGCTTCCTTATGTTTTATCACATACTGCCCTGAGGAATAAATGAGATCATGTATGCAAGGCACTTAACCTGGTACCTGGCATACAAGTGCCCAGTGTGAGGCCGCTGTATACGGCTCTGCACTGCACAACTCCAGGAGACAGCACTCACACTGTTCTCTATGTCAGTCAGCTCTGGACTTGTGCAGTGCACAACCCAAGTGACCCTATGGTGTCTGGCTTATATACAGCAGCTATTATGATTTTTGTTACTTGTAATTCCTTACTTGTTAGTCTGAGAGTACGATGGGTTACTAATGGTCAGAGGAAAATGGAACTAAAAATATAAAGTAAATGACTCAACTGTTAGTGTTAGACCAATTTTTAAAAAACCATGGCTTAGTGGGGCTAGCAGACTTATATGCAATACCCTCCATTATTGACAAGATTTAATTTCCACTAATGTTATGGTTTCTATTTTTAAATTGAGCCAGGGGTTTTAAAGGCATTATTCCAGGTCTGAAAAATATGAAAAATGGCAAATGTCATTTCTTGGTATTAAAACTTTTTCAGTGCCACTGAATGTTATTTTGGAACCATTATCTGCCAAGATGCATTTCTTAAATAAAAAAGGAGTAAGAGAGAAAAATGAAGTTTTGTATACTGTAAAAAAAAAATGTATAAATTAAATTGTAAGATTTATTTGTATAAATAATCAGACACTGTGGAGGTAAACCACTTTTCCACCTATAATACACTACAGTAATGCACTGCGTAACATTTCAGTCAACGATGGACCACACATACAAAGGTGGTTCCCTAAGGTTAGTTACCATAGAGCCTAGGTGTATAGTTGGCTCTACCATTTAGGTTTGTGTAAGTACACTCGATGATGTCTGCCTAATGACACATTTCTCAGAATGTATCCCTGTTGTAAGCGACAAGACTGTATTTTTTTAAAATAATATTATTCTTACAGTAGCAAAATAAAACATAATCACTAGTTGATGCTATGAAATGTAATCATTTAAGAATATGTTTCACTTTCCTACCTTACCTGATTTATTTTTCTTAATAGAAAATATGGAACAGCTCACTAACACATTTATGTTTGTGCTGTTTTCTTAAATGGCCATTTATATAGTCAACCATTTTCTTGCATTTTCCCTTTCAGATGTTCCCTTAATCATTATGCTTCTCTCTTTATTTAAAATTCTTAGATTACATGTGGTATTTCACATAAAAATATCATCATCATCATAGCAACTGTTTTTTGTGTGTTTGCTTTATTCCATACATTATGCTAAGCATTTACACAGATCACCTCACAAAAACTTTAACGACCTTGAAAGGCATGATACCATTTCCACATACAGTTTTCAAGTAACAAAACTGAGGCTTGGGGAGGTTACGCATCTTGCCTAAGGGTACTCAGCTTGCATGTTTCCAGGTGCATAAAATTCCAGGTCTGAGCTATTCTAAAACCCCAAGCTCTTAACCTTTGCTTCTGAAATCCCTGGTGCTTCACTAACATATTCTTGATTATCTCTGATTTCTCAACAAAAATCTTTAGTTTTGAAATTTCGTTCTGAAAATAATTTAAAAATTAATATAACCATACTTTGGATCACAGGGAAGACCACTATATAAATAAGTACTTCCACCTGATTTGAATGCCCATGTTTTTGTTTGTGTTTATAACTGAGTTGCAGCCAAGCTGTACAACTTAAATTGCCCTGGGCTGTATGAAGAAATAGAAACAAACAAATGAATGATGCATACATGCCAGGTAAAGGCCAAATATTGTGACTGTCTGCTTCTGGAACAAAGGTTTTAAAAAAAATTACAATAGAGAAAACTGGCGGGAAAATTGAGTTATCACATACCAATATAAGTATCCCAAATTAAAATAAATCTGTGCTCCAGAGAGCCCCAAACAAGATAAACCCAAAAAGGCCCACACCAAGACACATCATAATCAAAATGTCCAGAATTAAAGATAAAGAGAGAATCCTAAAAGCCGCAAGACAAAGTCAAGTTACATACAAAGGAAACCCCATAAGGCTATCAGCTGACTTCTCAGCAGAAACCTTACAGGCTAGAAGAGAATGGCAT